ACCTGGTCAGGCACAGACACCACTGTTCTCCACGGGGTATCCAGGATCTGCAAGGTGTAATCTGGTGGCAAACTTTTGCACCTCTGTTAACGCTCTGGATTTCTCAAAATCATTTAAAGTCTGTCATAGGCCAGACAGAACGCTGGGGTGTCTCCGCATGCCTGCCAGGGCGAGCAGTGCAGCTTCTCAGGTCCGACTTTGTCTGTTCCAACTCCACTAAAGGGCTTAGGACCAGGGTTGGTGCAAACTCCCCGCTGTTTCCAGCACGGGCGGCAGTGGAGTCGCATTTCCCCCGGCAGAGGTAGGACGGCACCACGGTCCCTTTGTAGGCCCCTCAGGCTCCCCTGGGTGCGGGGATAGCTCAGAACAGGTGGGAGCATGGGCTCTTAACACCATCGTCCCACTTGGCTCTGTCCACGATTCCCCCGTAAACAGCAGAAGGCTTGCACGAGTGGCATTTCGGCCCATCCTCCTTTCCGCTCACAAAAGGGGTCCAGCTGTCGGATGGTGGGGGAGGCAGAGTCCCACGTGGTGGCCACTGCTCTCCACTGTGCAGCTCGTATGTGGCCAGGTGGTTGCACAGATTAAACATGGCTAAACCTGTGTCTGGATCAAATTTGTCCCCATTTGAAGGAAAAAGGTGGGGGAAGGGAAAGGGTAGCCACTGGGGTCAGCAGAGCTGGGTCTCCCCAGGTGATGACCCAGACCACGTGGCCAGACTGGGGTCAGCCGAGAACTCACCCGTGCAATGGCGAGGGTGGAAAAGCGGAGCAGGGGAGGAGGAACCCAAGCACGGGCGTTAGCACGCAGGAAGGCGAGCTGGTTGCCTGGAGACAGGCCCGGAATGGCCGGGGCGGAGAAGCGAGAGCAAAGGCAGGAAGACACAGCACGAGGCTTGCCTGGAGACAAACGTCCAAGCCACGGCACCAAATATGTGAGGTTTCAGTCTGAAAGTGCCGGTTCTTGACGACACATGGCCAAAGAATGACAGACGAGCCAAAGTAAGGCAAGCACGAAAATGCGGTTTATTGAGGAGAGAAAGACAGGATTGTAGGGCGCGAGCAAGACATAGGGTTACAGAGCATGGGACATATTTGACGCCACAGATGACGACCACTGTCGCAGCAAGCGGAGAGCCGCAGGGAAAGTGCACAAAGGTACCCTCATGCTTAGATGTGCCTCTTGGAACCAGAATATAGCTGTGCTTTTTAAAAATCCAGTCTAAAATTTTTTCATTTCGTTGTATTCTGCCCATTTGTATGTAATGTACTTGGTTAGATGGCAGCTTAAATCTGTATCTTACTCTGTGCTTTCAGTTTGTCCCATCTGCTCTGTTTCCTTTTCTATATTTTGCTTTCTTTTGGATTATTTTTTATTATTCAGTTTCCCTCTTTTGTCAGTTTGGAATTTACATTTTATTTTAATTTTAAAGTTTCCCCCAATGTTTCAAAATGCATCCTTGACTTTTCAAAACCTATTGTTAATCAGTACTTCTATTTCCTTCCTTAGAACAAGCTAACCTCATCCGTCCCCTTTTTATTTATATGCTGCTGTTCGTATGAACTTTGATTTCATGTCCATTTTAAACTCCAGAGGACATTATTACTACTGTTACTGTTGTACACAGTATCATTTAGATTTGCCTTCCTAATTACCATCTCAATTCTTCTTCACTTCTTCCTACAGCCACCACGTACTATTTAGGATCATTTCTTTTTTTAATGCAGCTCTGTTTATGAAGAATTTTATTGTGTTTGTTTGTCTGGAAATTTGCTTCACCGGTCTGGAAGCACGTTTCAGTTGGGTATAGAACTCTGTTACTTTCTATTTTCTATTGTTTCTGCTGAGAAGTTGGTTGAAGTCACACCGATGCTTCTTTAAAAGAAGTCTTTACCTTTCTCTAGCAGCTTTCGAGATTTTCTCTTTCTTTGGTTTTTATAAAGTTTTGTTATCACGCACTGTTTTATTTACCCTGACTTCAAGGTGAGAACCGGAGTGAGACAAGGAGCAGACAGCCCCAGGACACAAGTTATCCAAAACATTAGGCCCACGCTCTAGATTTCCATTTTCTCCTGCAAATTCCTGGCAATCTTTCACTACCTTGTTAACTTTCTAGTACCATCTATCACATTTTCAAAATATTTTGTCCAGCTTTTCTGGACAAACATTTAAGGCAGGACTCATGGTCTGTGTCACGCAAGTGCTCCCTCCTCCCAGCCCTGCTTACTGGAGTTCACTAGACTTTTTAATCTGCACTTTGATGATTTCAGTTAAGTTTTTAAAAATTCTCAGCCATTATCTTTTAATGTGGCTTCTGCTTCATTCTCTTTCTTCTCTTCTCTGCGATTCCCATCACGTGGTTTTTACGTCATCTTTTTTCATTTCTATGCTTCTTACCATTGCTTCTGAATTTTCTGTTTGCTTCTCTGTGCTTCATTCTTGGTATTGTCTTCCAGTTTACTAATCATCCTTTCAGCTGTATCTAATCTGCTGTTAAGTTTTTCTTGAGTTCTTAATTTCAGTTATTGTTCTTAAACTAACTTGGGGGGACTCCTGATTGTCTGTAATAAAGAATCCTGAGCAATTGGAGAGACAGACAACTAAAATATCCAACTGAAGATAGAACATCTAAATAAACTATGGCTCATCCTTCTGATGAAATAGTATCCAGTCTTTTAAAAGTGTATCTCCAAAAAATTCTTAAAGACATGAGGAATACTTACAATTAATATTAAGTGGAAAATAAAAATATAGGATTTCCTCTTCTGATAATGGTATATAGTGGATAATTTTGGGTAAACCCTCTTGCAGAAGGTAACTAGAAAAGCTGGACAAAATATTTTGAAAATGTGATTGATGGTACTAGAAAGTTAACAAGGTAGTGAAAGATTGCCAGGAATTTGCAAGAGAAAATGGAAATCTGGAGAGTTGGGCCTAATGTTTTGGATAACTTGTGTTCTGGGGATGCCTGCTGCTGCAGAAGAGAAAATCGAGATACCATGCAAGGCTTTTGACAGCCTCATCCCCCTTAGGAGAAATATGATCCAAATTGTTAATGCCCCAAGTTCCTGGCAAAAACAAACATAAATCTTCTCTGGAGGAAGATGACATCGTCCAGGCCACAAAAATATTTATATAATTTTTCAGGTACACTGTTCAGCACACAATAAACAGTAATCCACCTCATGAGGAGACAAGACAACAGGAACCGAGACTACTGAAGGATGGGCACGCGTCTGGGGCAACGGCAGGACTGCAGGTGGGAAGGCAGGAGCCCAGAGGAGGGAAACTGACTGGGGTCCTCCAGGTCCCCACGGCGGGAGGGCAGAGGCTGCGGAGGCCACAGCTGAACCACCACCTCGGCAGGAAGTGGCCTTGCCTGCCTCCACTGTTCCCCGCAACCCAGGCGCCGCAGGGCGCTGAGGGAGGCAGAGGCGTCCCAGAGCTGCGGGGAATTGGCCCAGTAAGGCTGCGCCGCCCAGGGCCCAGGGCCTGGAGAGTCACCCTCGGGGCGCAGGGTGGGAATCTGAGGAGGGCACGGTGTGGAAGCATTTTAATGTCTTTTAAATACATAATCTGGGATTAGATACCCATTCACATGACCTTTGTCCGTTCTTGCCTGGAGCCACCGAAGCAGGTTAATAAATACCGGAGGAAATGGCTGAGCCTGCTGGGGAGAGCTCTCCCAGGAGGGAGGCTTCCCTCCGCTGATGGCGCCCATTCCACCCTCAAAGTCCTTGTTGGGATACTGTGTTAGCGGGTCACCATAGTTACCCTTAATGATGGGCATGATCTAAATGACATCCTGAGACTAAGCCCTGTTTCCTTCAACAGCTTGTCTCAAGGGTCATCCCAAACCCTGGGGACCAACTACCTGTCATGTTTTAAAGCAAATCCCCTACGCGGTTCTCAAAGTGTGGTTCCCCCGGCCACACCCCCCAGGAACTTGTTAGCAATGCACGTTTTCAGGCTGCTGTCCTAACCCTGCTGCGGGCGCGCCCTGCGTTCCACCTCACCAGCCCCGGGGGATCCTGATATGCATGCACTCTGAGGAGTCCTGATAAGGCCAGGGAGCTGTGTTCGTCACTGTCCAGCTGGGGCTTTTCCTGTGCCTCAGTTTCCTCATCTGGATACCTGGTGTGACATTTCCTCCCTTAACTGTATCACGGGATTGGTGTAAAACTTGGTGAGATGCTGCAGATGAGAATTCTTCTAAAGTGTTAAGTGCCTCACAAACGATGTTAATGCTGTCAGCTGCCTCAAGGACGTGAGAGCAGGGGTCCTACAGCCAGAGGCTTTTACCCTGGAGCCCTCAGACAGTTCCACAGGTCCTGGAACCTCCTATGATTATGTGTGAAACTGAGTGGAGAGATGCATTTTTCTAGAGAGAAGACCATTCAGATTTCCCAGAGCCAAGAACACTGATGGCCTATGACCCTCTTAAAAAGAGCAAGGACTTCCTGGCAGCCCTTGGATAAGAAGGGCAACGGCACCAGGGGGTGGAGAACCGAATATGGAAAGCTGCACAGCCTGCCATGCCTGAACTGGGCCCCGTCCCCGGGGCTTTCCACATTTGCTAATGAATAATGGACTCTGGCTGCACATGCGGAGCACACCAGGAGCAGGGCGGGCGTGACTGCACCCTCCCTGCATTTCCGAGTGCACAGTGGGAGGCAGGGCAGGTGACCACAGGGAGCACTTGTTCCAGGAGGGAGGAACGGGGAGTTGGTGCTTAATGGATGCAGGGCTTGTTTCACTAGATGACCGGAGTCTCCCTAGATGACGAGTCCTGGGGATGGACCCTGGAGGATCCCTCCCAGCCCTGCGCCTGCACACGCGGCACAGCAGCCACTGCCGGGGGACCCAGCAGGTGGGACATTTCCCCAGGTTGACCTGTTTACATCATGAGGAGAAAGAGCTCTCCTGACACATTCCTCTGGAATTCTCCATAGACATGGCCACGTTCTGGAGACGGTAAAAGACGGCAGCAATGCAGGAAATGAATTAGGTCTCATTTATTCTAGGGCAAACTCAAAAGGGTTTTTTTTGTTGTTTTCTTTTTTAGCAAATCCTAGCACATTATTAACAAAAAAATCTGTACATTTGCCATGATACACTTGAAAGTGAAACAAATAAGATATAAATACAGATATGAATGTAACATGAAAAAGCCCAAAAAAACCCAAAGAACAAAAAAACCCACCCAACCTGGGGGTGTGGGGACCATGCGTGTGAACACAGCTCCAGCAAAACTATTTTGGTGGCTGATATTTTTCACAGCATTTCTGTTTTCATTTCCAAACATTATTGTTAGCAAAGTCCTGGTGGGATTCTACAAAGTTCTCATTTGCTGTCCTTCAAAGTGTAACATTATGCTTGATAAATAAAGGGTGGCAGGGAAAGAAAAAGATTTATGAGATAAAACTGGTTGCATTACCTGCACAGGGTGGTAAGCAAGTGAGGCGCATAGAAAAGGCAGGCTGTGGCGAGGCCACAGGGCCGGGACGCGCACACGGTGCGCGCCACGCCAAGGCGCCGCTGCCCCAGGACCGGCCGCCCCTGCCCAGACCCTGCTGAGAGGGAGGCAGCGGCTGAGGGGAACGAGTTGGGCAGACCGGCCCGGGCGGCGGGCGAGGGGGCGTCAGGGCCCTGCAGTCAGGTAGACAGGGGAGGCAACAGTTTTGGGTGCTTTGCTCTTTTGTGTTCTTTGTTTCGTCGGAGCAGGGGCCCTGCGGGGAGGCGGCGGCAAGGCAAGGCAGCTGCAGCTGTCAGGCTCGGGAGGCGGCAGTGGGCGCAGCTGCCGTCCCAGTGAGGTGGCGGCGGCATGCGAGTCTCCTCGGTGCAGCGGGCAGCGGTTTTCAAATCGAGGCCAAGAGATCCGTGAAGTGACTGTTCCTCTCTTAAGTCGGGAGACTGAAGCCTGGGCGAGTGACATTCAAGGCTAGCCCTTTGTGAGTACTGAGAGGACATCAGGCAATGCTCGAGATCCTTCCAACAACACCGAGGACTGGGTGACCGACCTTTTGGGAGTCAGAGAGCTCAAGGAGGGAGGTGTTCCTAACTGCGGTCGGCATACACACAGGAGCCCGTAAACAGCCTAGCCAGACGCGCGCTCCTACAACAGAGGAGTAGCCAGAAGACGCCCCGACTCACTTGTACAGTATAAAAAAGAACTACTATTAATGAAATACTAACAAACAAAATTTATCAATGAAAGTAAGGCCTGGTCCTGCTAGTTTTGAGCCAAAGTCAGTCACTAGTATCTGACCACTTAAAATGTACCCCTGAAGTTCCCTAACAGCGGCAGTGGGGCGCTGCACGCGTGTGAGACACCCCCACATGCACATGCACGCGCACACACAGAGCAGCGGCCGCACCCTGGCTTCACCGTCCCAGGCATTACGGGGGCCTTCATTTTCAGTGCTTATTTCCAAATGTGTCCAAGCGTGTCTTTCGCAACTTCCCACATCACATCTAGAGGGTCAGAGCAGAAGGGGGGTCTGTGGAAATCAGCGGTGGCACCCACCACTCGAGTGCCCCAGCCTCCGCCATCCGGCCTACCGGCTGCAGTGGACTCTGCACTGGAACAGCATTAAAATTAACATCAAGAAGCTTTTTCCTCATGGAAAAATCAGTTCAATTTAAAAGATCTAAAATGGAACAGTAGGAGACAATAGAAGTCGTCATGATTGTAATAATAATTTCCATTTGGCTTGGGAATTTTACTCAACACTTACTCAACCAGACTTCAAATCTACAGTTGCTTTTATTAGAGCGATCACACTCTCAAGAGGTTAAAAAGGGGACCTGGTGGTTCCCTGTGGAAGGAAAGGAAACACTCTAAAAGTGGGCTTTTCTTTTTTTAAAAAAGCCTTTCAACTCCTATTTTTCTGCAATCTGCCACGTATCATAATTACTTTTTCCTTAAACAAATGACTATTTCAACAATCAAGGAAGTACTTTGGTTTATAAAATAATTTAAAAAATGGTTCTGATGGCTGGTCTCTATACTTTGTTCTTAATCTCAAATTAAATAGAGAAGTCAAAACTGAGATGGTAAAGTCGCCATTGACCAGATCAACGGAGAACATTTCAGAACTGAACAGCTTAGGCAAAGCTTGCAGGGAGAAGAAAGATCATGCTACATCTGAGTCACCAAGTACCCTTGAGGACGAGGGTCCTGGCAGAATCCCCGAGATCTTAGTAGTACAACAGACGACTTCTCTTCTATCTTCTGTGCCTTGTGAAATGCCATTTCATGCATCCCTAAATGACACTATAAATTTACCTTATTTTTGTGTCTGGAATTAAACGTGAAGGATTCTTTTGCATGAAAGCTCTGGGGTAGAGGGCTGGAGGGAGACTCGGAGGGTGCACGCCTGAGTCTATGCTAAAAGCGAGGGCAAGCTGGCCTCCCGTCTGGACAAGACAAGTGAAATTCCCAGTGCTTGTTAAAAGGCCATCTTCAGGCTTTTCTCCTTTGCTTGTCAAGACTTGATTCCCATTTTTAGTAGGTCTCAAAACACAAAGACAGACAACCCTTCACGGTGCTGGCTGTGAAAGGGGCTGGCTTTGCCCCACACAGACCACACTCACTAGAGAATACGCTAAGAAGGAGGAACACAAAGTAACATCCCACCCACCCCCCAAATCTGTTATTAACTGAAAAAAAAAATGCTACTTTTTACCAAGCAGTGGCTAGACAGCTCTGATTGAACTGTGCCCCCACGGTTCCTGATCTCAGCAGTGTACAAGACATGTTTCAGTATGGCTCTTTTCTTCTCTGATTCCTTTTGTTTTGTGTGAAGACTGCAACACAGGCCTTGCTTCCTTTACATTCAATACCAGTAAGATTCTACACAAAAGCTGGAAGGGACCAAAATACTGATTGTAATAAATATTTGCGGGCCTCCTTGCACTGACGGGGCAGCCGATGGCGGGGTGGGGAGAGGTCTCTGAGGCACCACCGATTGCTTCTAGGTCTACACGAGAGACTGGCGCTGCCACTAGCTGTGCGTGGAGACGTCGGAGGAGGAGCTGCTGTTGCTGTTCGTGGTCTGGGCCCTCTTTATATATAAGTTTAGTAGCTTCATCTGAAAAGCGAAAACAAAAATGAATTAGCAAGAGGAAAAGCAATCAGAAAGTAGAAAACAGGAAGAAAAATCCCAAGTTAACAATAGGAAAACAGCATGTCCAGGAAACAGATATCTGCAGAGGCAGATGCACATAAAAATCTCTGTGACACACCACTTGTAAGACGAAGTGAATGACGAAATATTTGCTGTCCACAGCCTTTGTCTGCCCTGCTCCATACAGGCTGTGGGGCTCAGACAATACAAGCCAGCCCAGGCAGGAGAGCTGTTCAGGGACCCTGAAGACACGCTCATGGCAACACACGCGCTGCACGCGAAGGCAGGACTCTCCGCCCACTGTGGAAACCGAACAGCAACCCTCCAGAGCTCCCAACTGGCAAAGTCTCCCTGACACCCCCACCCCACCATTCCCCCAAAGGTGCTCTCCACTGGAACATATCCTACCAAACACTTTTCTAAGTGTGTATGTCACATAAACACAGACAGTAAAATACAGACTTGTGTTCTGCTTTTCCACACAATGGTGTCTGCAGCAAGCACCTGCGGCACCTCAACCGTCAGTCTGTGGGGTACTGGTGGCAGTACCCGTCGCACCAGCTTACTCTTTCCAACTGCACAAAGCACTCATGTTAATTTACACTGGATACACAGTTGTTTTTTCACACCCCCCCATTTAAAATCTTAACAACTTTATAGCGCTATGATGAAAAGTGCCATCATTTTACACAAGGGTTTTAATGCTCTGAGGCTCAACATACTCAACAAAGTTCTAGAACCAACTCCACCATAAACTAGCTGTGTGACTTTGGGCAAATCGTTTTCTGGACTCCAGTGTCCTCACCTGCAAAATAAAGAGCAACAAGAACACTTCCAAAGTGCTTTCTGCAATCCTTGTTCAGAAAACGTGTCCCCTGACCACACCTCTCCAATTCCTACTCAAGCTGCTCATGCGGGTTCTTCCTGCAGCTGGCTGCTTCTCCCCGTGCAGATCCCACAGAGCCCAGTGCAGCTGTACTTCCTCCAAGAGGCCTATCCCTTCCTTCCTGCTCCAGTGGCCCAGGACCTAGCCCTTGGGGTCTGTCCCAGCATGTCTACTACATGTTGGTCACTCCCGGGCTGCTGCACCATTTCCCCATGTGTCAGTCCTGTTCCCTAGATGCATTCTGTACCATTTCAGGGCAGGACAGAGACAACTGCTTTTCCCATATGCCTTAGCATAGTGCAGTAAAGACAGCAGGTCCTAACACATAAAGAGGAAAAAAATCTAGAAGACAACATAGTTATATTTCAATGAAAGGCTGGTTGTAAGTGAGTTGTTATACTTATTCTCAACTCAAAACCACGAATTCATCCCTCTAGTCAGGTCTAGAATGTAACTGCACGATGGAAGAAAAGATAATGATAACAGAAGTCATAATGTGCATGTGTTCAACAATTTCCAATGAGCTCTTATGCTGATCATATTTGAGCCTCACAAAAATCCTCTGCAGTAAGTAGAACATGTTCACATCTTTGCTAACGAGAAAGCCGGGGCTCTGAAAGCTTGCTCAATAAGGCTGGTACAAATTCACTTTAGGTTGTTAAAACTTTACGGTGTTAGCTGCAGTCCCCACAGCAATCACAAAGAAAACGGCTACACGTAGAACAAAAGGAAATGAGAAAGGACTTAAAATGTTTCACTAGAAAAACCAAACACAAAAGACAGTGACGTAGAAAATGAGAAACAAAAAAGCTATAGGTATACAGAAAACAAACAGCAAAATGACAGAAGTTTCCCCTTATCAGGAATTAGTCATTCCTCAGTATTCATGGGGATTTGGTCCCAGAACCTCCCTTGAACACCAAAATCTGAGGATGCTCAAGTCCTTAATATAAAATGGCATAGTATTTGCATATAACCTATGTATATCCTCCTGTATATACTTTAAATCACCTCTAGAGTTCTTATAATACCTAATACAATGTAAATGCTATGCAAATAGTTGTTATACTGTATTGTTTAGGAAATACTGACAAGAAAAAAAAGCCTGTACGTGTGCAGTACAGATGCAATGTTTTCCCCCAAATATTTTGATCCAAGGTTGGCTGAATCCACAGAGCCAAAACCCTTAGAAACACAGGGCCAATTATACTTTAAAGGTAAATGGATTAAACTCTCCAATCAAAAGACAGATTGGCAGAATGGATAAATACATGATCTAATTATATGCTGTCTGTAAGAAACTCACTTTAGATCCAAAGACACAAGGGAATGAAAGAAAAAGTATGCAAAAAGATATTCCACAAAAATAGCTGTAACCACAGAGAGCAGAGGTGGCTATACTAATATTAGACAAAATAAAGTTTCAAGCAAAAAAGCTTCCAGGAGACAAAGAAGGACATTATAAATTAGTAAAAGGTTCACTACGGCAAGAAGATATAACAATCATAAATATTCATGTATCTAATAGCAGACCATCAAAACGTATGAAGCAAAAATTGATATTAATAGAACTGAATAGAGAAATACATGGTTTTATAATAATAGTAGAGGATCCTAACACCCCACTCTCAGTAATGGGCAGAACCGCCAGACAGATGATAAGGAAAAAGAGGACTCAATACAATAAACCAACAAGATCTAACAGAAATACAGAGAACATTCTAGCCAACATTCTCAAGGGAAACATGGAACATTCTCCAGGATAGACCATAAAATTAACTCTCAATAGATTAAAACAATATATAAAGTTTCTTCTCCAACCATAATGGGATGAAATAAGAAATCAGTAGTAATAGAAAACTGAGAAATCCACAAATTTGTAGAAATTAAACAACACACCCTTAAACAACCAATGGGTCAAAGAATAAATCACAAGGTAAATTAGAAAACATCTTGAGACAAATGAAAATGAAACTGCAACATTTCAAAACTTTTGGGATGCAGTGTTTCGAGGGAAATACAGTTTCACGTACTTATATTTAGAAAGATCTCAAATCGACAATCTAACTTTACACCTTAAGTACTAGAAAAAAACAGAATTAAACTCAAAGCTAGCAGAAGAAAATACTAAAGATTATAGTAGAAATAAACAAAACAGAATAGAAAAATAGAGAAAAATCAACAAAACCAAAAGTTGGTTCTTGAAAACAGATTAACAAAACTGACAAACCTTTAGCTAGATGGATTAAGAGAAAAGAGAAAGGCTCAAATTACTAAAATCAGAAATGAATGTGGGTAAATTACTACTGATTCTACAGAAATGAAAAGGGTTATAAGAGAATACTACGAACAGTTTTATGCCAAGAAACTGGAAAATCTAGATGAAGTGGACAAATTCCTAGAAACACAAAACCTACCAACACTGAATCACGAAGAAAAAGTAAACATGAGTACACTCGTAACTAGTAAAGAGATTCAATCAGTAATGAAATATCTCCTGACAGGCTGGCATGGTGGCTCACACCTACAATCCCAGCACTTTGGGAGGCCAAGATGGGAGGATTGCTTGAGGCCAAGAGTTCAAGACAAGCCTGGACAACATAGTGAGACCCCGTTTCTACAAAAAAATAAAAAATTAGCCAGTTATGGTGGTATGTGTCTGTAGTCCTAATTAATTAGGAGTCTGAGGTAGGAGGATTACTTGAGCCCAGAAGTTCAAGGTTACAATGAGCTATGATTACACCAATGCACTCCCAGTCTAGGCAACAGAGTGAGATTTTGTCTCTTAAAAACAACAACAAGGCCGGGCGTGGTGGCTCACGCCTGTAATCCTAGCACTTTGGGAAGCCGAGGCGGGCGGATCGCTCAAGGTCAGGAGTTCGAAACCAGCCTGAGCGAGACCCCGTCTCTACCAAAAATAGAAAGGAATTAATTGACCAACTAAAAATATATATACAAAAAATTAGCCGGGCATGGTGGTGCATGCCTGCAGTCCCAGCTACTCGGGAGGCTGAGGCAGTAGGATCGCTGAGCCTCGGAGATTGAGGTTGCTGTGAGCCAGGCTGACGCCACGGCACTCACTCTAGCCTGGGCAACAAAGTGAGACTCTGTCTCAAAACAACAACAACAACAACAAAACAAAACAAGAAAACTCCTACCACACCCCCCAAAACAATCTGGACCAGATGGCTTCATTCGTGAATTCTACCAAACATTTAGAGAAAAATTAACACCAATCCTTCTCAAACTTTTCCAAAAAAATTGAAGAGGAAGGGATACTTCCTAACTCATTCTAAGAAGCCAGCCTCATGCTGATACCAAAGCAGACAGATACTACAAGAAAACTACAGACCAAAATCCCTTACGAACACTGATGGAAAAATTCCCAGTAAGAACTAGCAAATTGAATTCAGCACAAATTAAAAGAATTTTACCCCATGACTAAGTGAGATTTATTCCCAGAATGCAAAAATGGTACAACATACCAAAATACACTAAATGAACAGAATGAAGGGGGAAAAAAAACCCCACATAATTATCTCAATTGGTATAGAAAAAGCACTTAACAAAATTCAACACCCTTTCATGATAAAAACACTCAACAAACTTGGAATAGAAAGAAACTCTGTCAACATAGTGAAGGCCAAATGTGAAAAGCCCACAGCAAACATCAGACTTGATGGTAAAAGCTTTTCCTCTAAGTGCAGGAACAAGGCAAAGATCCTGGTTTTACCACTTCCATTTAATCAAGTACTGAAAGTTCTAACTAGAGCAATTAGGCAAGAAAAAGAAATAAAAGGCATCCCCACTGCAAAGGAAGTACAATTATCTGTGTTTGTAGATAGTATTATATGTAGAAAACTCTATTATACCAAAAAAAACACAAAAACCAGAACTAATAAATTTGGCAAAGCAGGATACAAAATTAACAAGCAAAAATAAATTGCATTCCTACACAGTATCAATGAACACATTGAAAAGGAAATTTTAAAAAATTAAAACAACTCCTGGCTGGGCGCGGTGGCTCAGGCCTGTAATCCTAGTACTCTGGGGAGGCCGAGGCGGGAGGATCGCTCAAGGTCAGGAGTTCAAAAAAACAATTCCATTTACAACAGCAACAAAAAGAAAAAAATACTTCGGAATTAATGAAGGAGGTGAAAAAGACTTACACAATGAAAACTATAAAACGTTGAAAGAAATGAAAGAAGACAAACATGGGAAAGACATCCCATGTTTATGGGTTAGAAGACTTAATATTGTTGAGATATAAATAACACCCAAGCGATCTATAGATGCAATGCAATCCATAAAAGAATCCTCATGAGGAATTTGGCAGAAATAGAACAATCAGTCCTAAAATTCACATAGAATATCAAGAAGTGCTAAGCAGCCAAAAGAAGATCTTGAACAAAGTTGTAGGACTCACGCTTTTGATTTCAGAACTGACTGCCAAGTTACGGTAATCAAACAGTGTGGCACTGACATAAAGACAGATAGACCACTGTTGCGGAACAGAAAGCCCAGAAAGAAATCCTCACACAGACGGTCAAAGGATTTTTGACAAACATGCCAAAACCATTCAATGAGGAAAGGATAATCTTTTCAACAAATGAGAAATACCCATTAGGATGACAATTAGAAAAGTAAGTAAAGAGAAACAAAGTAACAAGTGTTGACAAAGACGTAAAGAAACTAACCCTTTGTGTACTGTCGGTGGGAATGCAAAATGGTGCAGCTGCTGGGGAAGACAGTATGGAGGTTTCACAAAACATTAAAAATAGAATTACTGTATGATCCAGCAATCACATTTTTGGGTATATACCCCAAAGAACTGAAAGTGGGGATTCTAACAGATATTTTTGTACCAGTGTTTATGACAGCATTATTTACTTGGGAAGCAACCCAAATGTCCATCAAGAGACGAACAGATAAAATGTGATAGATACACCCAATGGAATACTATTCAGCCCTCAAAAGGATGGAAATTCTGACACATGCTACAACCTGGATAAGCTCGGAGGATATTATGCTAAATGAAATAAGCTAGTCACAAAAGGACAAATACTGTATGATACCATATATATGAGATATCTAGGGTAGTCAAACTCATAGAGACAAAGTACTAAATGTAGGTATTATAGCACAATAAAAAGATTGAAGAAAAGAAAGAATGCTTGTTCAAGGGCATATAGCTTGTAAGCAGGGGGGACAGAGACTAGAAGGCAGGTTGACCCAAAGCCAGTGCTGCTGCCACAGAAATGAGACATCTCTCAAAATGTACCACACAGGTTCCTTCTCTATCCTCGTATCAGGCCTTTCTCTACAGACCCCGGCATCATTCATCAACCTCATCTAAGCCATGGGCGAGAATGTTCCCATAGGCCTGGTATCACATGGAAACAAGGAGCCATGATTTGATTCTGTTTCTAGTCTAGGAAACTGAGGCAGACTTAGCACCACATTCTGTGAGCTGCCCTTTTCCTTTAGGAAGCGGGAGGTTTATCTGTGTTAGGAAATGTGTATACAAGCCTACAAAGCTCTTACCAATGCACTAGAGCTACCACAGCCAATGGCTGGATGACCTGGGCGACCAGAGCAGGACGGCGTCAAGGCCGCCTCCCTGAGCCCTCCCAGCCGTCTGAAGCTGGCACTGGGGAGGGGAAGCACTGGCTCCTGGTCGGGAACGTAGCTCTTGACCCCGGGCACCACCACGAGTGGCAGCAGCTGGTCAACTGCCAAATGGTGATGACAAAACACCTGTATTTTCTCAGTCCCTTCTCAGAAGGGTCAAATGAGATGACAGGACAGCTCTCATGCTCAGGAAAGTAAAACATGCCAGAAAAAACCAGGGTCTGACTCGTGTTGTTCTGGAATGGATTCTACATTTGACAAATCTCATTCCCTTTGTGAATAATATCTCCTAGGTCCTCAACCGTCACCAGGAACCATCTACAAACCCCCTGAGAGAGATGGGGACATAGGGAGTGCCGGGACCCCACACACAGCAGGGCGACTCTTGCCCAGTGGTTATCGGGTGGTGGCCAGGGACAGGGGCTGATGAGGGGCCTATTTAGGAGCAGGAGAGGGGAGCCCGCAGGGCTACCTGCCTATTCCTGTCTGCAAGAAGAGGAAACTGTCTCCTTTGGACCAGTGGTTCTCAACTGGTGGCCATTTTACCACCCGGGGACATCTGGCCATGTGTGGAGGTATCAGTGATTGTCACAACTGGTATCTAGATAGTGGTGGTCAGGGATGCTGCTAAATCTCCTAAAAAACACAAGACAGTCCCCTTAACAAGGTGGCACAAAGTCTCAGCAGGGTTGAGGCTGGGAAAACCTACTCTGGACAAAGCAGGGTAGTGCTGTGGCCCAGAACTCTGGGGAAGCAAGGCTGTGGCTGTGATCTCCACCCGCTGTGTCAAAGCAGCAGCGTGACTCGGAAACAAATGGGGCTCACATGCCCATTCCTTTTCTCAAAAGCAGCAGGGCCAGGTGCTTCTGGCTTCGGGCTTGCCAATGGCTCGATTGGACAGAGTGGTTTGTACCCACATCTTTGCCAGGGAATTTTTATACTCCACATAGAGATGTGCTCTCCCCAAAGGCGGCCCCAGGCCCAGTCAGCCCCTCTCTGGGAGTCAGCCTGCCTCATGCCTCTCCTGTCATGACGGGGCTTCCGCCAGCTCTCACTTGGCCCGGCCTTTTAGATTGGAATTGTTCTTTTAAACATTTAAACCAATAAGCCCTCTAGCCACTCTCGTCTTCAGTGAGCCAACAGACCTTCCCTTGATTCTAGAACACTCTTCAAGGAACATGAGAGGCAGCAGAGTGAGTGAGAAGCCTGGCTCCTGGAGTCGGATCTCTGTGCGCCCTTGGGCAGATTGGGGGGATGACTGTCCTTATCCCACAGGGACGTAGTCGTAACATGAGTCAATGCATGCAAAGTGCACAGAACTGCGCCTGGGACGTGGCAGGCACGAGGCAGAAGCCAGCTGTTATTGCTGCTGATGCACACAAGGAAGTCAGCCTGAATCAGCAATCTGATAAGTGATCGGGTCAATTTCTTTAGTGTTTCTACGAGAAAACAGCTGGTTTCTAAACAAAGTTGTTTTTCTTCTGGTGCTCAAAGTCATCATTTCAAAACCTAGAGTGAGGATCAACTATGTTGTGTAATGTTAGTGTCACCTTAAAATGACTTCACTATATAGTTGGTCATTTTTATCTTTAGAAAAATGCCTGTGGAGAAATAAGGCCCAACTAAAACACCTGCAATGAGCAAAACCTGTCTGGAGTCCAGAGCTGCAGCCCAGCAGATTGATGGCAAGCTGGCAGCGCCCAGGTGTGCACATCAGCCCAGGTAACACTATACATACCTTGCTCCCTGTCAGCTGTGCAAGGTGAGGTTTCAGATCCTCTCCGATTACGGAATAAATTGCCACTAAGCAAAACACGCTGGCCTTCCGCACACTACTCTCGGTGTTATCATAACCCTAGAGAGCCAGAGAGGGACACAGAAAAGAAATCAGATCAAAGGCTTGTTCCACAGTCAGTATTTCACCAACATTTCCACAAATGCCCCATAGTTCGACCTTGGACTTGTCAATAACAACCAGGATATACCTCAGCCCCGCAACTGAACCCAGAGAGCTTTCACCCCCAAAAGATCAAAACTTAGTGGCAAGAGTGACTTGGTTCCTGGGGTGTGGAGGAGGGAGGCTGGCAAGTCCCAGCTGGGTCTGCCTCCACACAGGTGCCATTCAACAACCAGCTGCCACCCAAAACACATCGTGAGAGAGACAGCATGAGAAAGGAAACCAAGGAGGATTATAATTTGCTTTGTTCACATTTCTCCCAAAGGTAAAGCTAATTTTATAAGTGAAAATTCCTTTAAGGAAATGAGAATGACAGTACCCACTCTTGTGGGCAAAACTTCTCTGCTTTCCAATGATTGCTAGGGAACATCTGGTTCCACAGCCAGACATCTGTGCCCCCTGCAACTGGACCTCCATCTACCTGTCAGCCTCTTCCCTGGCCCCACACCCAAATGGGACTGCCCACTGCGCTCCAAACAGCCTTGGACTTCTCACCCTCTGTGCCTTTCCCTCTGTCTGGAATAATCCAGCTGTCCGCAATTAAGTGTTCAAGTCCCCAAGTCGAGCACTCAGCAAACACTAGCATTTATTAAATGTGACGCTGGCTCATCTCCACCTTTCCCCAGTGAAACCCCCTTTCTCCTCAGGGCCAACTCCAACCACCTCTTGCATGAGCCCTCTCTCCGCAGCCCCAGACTGGAGACCGCCTCCGCAGCCCAGGCACGGCCGTCCGTCTGCATGGCTGCACCGTGTCCTGTAGTAGGCTGTAACCCCCTGCGGTAGTGCCACACAGTGGAACACACCTTTTGTCTGCCAGAGTGTGTCTCGCTCAATGCCCCGTGCTCACACGAGTTTCACTACGGATCTGTTGGCTACATGAGATCAAGGACCATTTGATTTACGCTCCACAGCCCACCGCACCCACAGCTGGGGCCACAGGAGTATGCAATACGGGTTTGTTGAAAGAACAAACAAATAAAAAAAATCAAAATATGTTTACAGTAAATAGAAAGTTCATTCTGTGAGCCACCAGGGAAGTCTCCATGTTGCATTCAGGAGGAGTGGGCTCGAGGCTAGCAGAGAAGGCTGTGAGGCAACCCCGCCACACAGCCTCCCAGGTCGTGCCGTGGGGGTCACTGTCTGGGGTTTCCTACCCGCCCCCACCAGTGAAGGAGGAGCACGAAGCCCCCACTGCTTCCAGGGGAGCAGCCGCTCTGCTGACTCAGCCCGCACAGGCCAGCTGGAGGGCGCCCACCTGCAACAAGCCAGGGATGATGTCAGCGAGGAGCTGCAGCAAGGACTCCTTGGCGATCCTCTCGACGACTTTGGTCTGCATCTTGATGGCGGCGAGGTTGATGGGGTAGTCGGCCGTCTGGATGATGGGGCAGAGCACCTTGATGCACTGCTCTGGGTGGATAGAACTTGCCAGCGTAGACGCGGCCTCCTCAGCAGCTCTCACCACCTGAAATACACAGTTCCCTGACTGTGAGTTTCATGTGCCACCCGAGGAGAAAGACCAAACCTCACTTCTGTCCTATTTCAGAGGCCAAAGAACAGTGACCTCACTTAATGCCAAACGGCAGCCATTGCTTCCTCTAGCTCAGATTGTTCACTGTAAAGGGGAGTGTGGGACATGGAGAGGCAAGTTTGAGGGATCCTCCAAAGCCTTACGAGAGTGGTTTCCCAGAGCAGCAGCCCTGGGGACTTGTTAGAAACGCAACCTCTTGGGATCCTCCAGACCTGCTGACCCAGAGGTAGAGCCTGGGGGATGTGGGACCAGCAAACAAGCTCGTAAGCACCCAGGTGACTCGCACACACACTCAGACTTGAGAATCTCTGCCCTAGAAGATTAGGAGGACCTGAAAATATTAATGCTTTCCAACGGCTCGTGGGATACCCATAACTGGAGTACCTGCAGAGAAACCTGGAAGGAAATCAGAGTGACTGCTCTGCTGACGTTCCCGCAAAGCAGCCTAACTGCTAGGTAGTCGGGAAGGCTCAGGGAGAAGCCTCCAGAAGCATTTTCCTGAGGAGCTTGTGAAAAGTTGCTTTTCTAGGACTCTGTGCTCACGAAGGCCACTCACCTTGCACTTTTAAGGAAATGTGTGAAATGACCACCTCATGGTCAAAGGAGCAGCCTCTGAACTCTGGGAGGGCCACAGAAGACCCCCTCATACTGAAGATGGAAGCTAAGTGCAAACCCAGTGAGGAAGAAAGCACGTGACAGAGGCATAATAGAAAAAGCCTGGGCTTTTGGCTCAGGGAACTGGAAGCAAGTCCCAGTCACCTAATACCCAGTGCTCACACTCCATTCCTCATCTGCAAAGTGGGGACATGTCATAGGGATGAATGATGAGTAACATCCAAGATATAGCAGATATTCAGTAAATGGTACTTACTACTATTAAGAGCATAGGAGTACATATATTATATAAAATGATACATAAATTAAGACACCAGGCTACAAACAGGTTTGCATCTTCTTATGACATACAATGCAAATCTAATACTTTTCTCTACCGCCAGGCCCTGGACTGATCATTCCACCCAGGTTCCTCTCTGCAGTGTGTTCTGCTACTCAAAATAACTGAGCTCTAACTTTCCACAGCAACAAGGCAAAGGCTACCAGCCCAAGGCTTCAATCACCACAGCTCTAGTGATTTATGCAATGAATGACCAACGAAAAGAGCATATGGGCCATCTGGAAAGTTGCTTCTAGTCATGGGCATGAAGGGGGGGAGGAAGTCAGGGAGCATGTGAGACAGCCAGGAGGGCCCTGCGGAGGCCACCCGAGCCATGTGGCGGACAGGCCCAGACCTGGGCTCAGAGTCCACCTGCTCTGCTTTGGGTCACTTTGGGGCCCTGATTGAGGTGCTGCCCCCAGAAGCCCAGGAGGGGCAGAGGTGGACCTCGGGACTCCCCAGCCGTGGCTCCAGACCAGGCCTGGCTCTGCCTGCAGCTCAAGGCTCCACTGCACTGCGGATGGGGCTCCCTTCAGAGAGTGTGCTGCGCCAGTCCCTGTGTCGGCTCTGCTCTGTGGGACAGGAAAGGGAAATTCTTCCCACACCACAAGCCACGTTCATCTCATTTAACAACCGACACATCGAGGGCTGACCATGCTGCTAATAATGGACTCTCACTATGAAGCTCCATGTGGGCTTTGGCTACTCATGTCCAATACCTGCATTGATCACTATAAAAAACCTGGAAGGAAATGCACAAAAGGTGGCGAACACTCCTTTTCTCAGGGTGGCAGGATTATGGGTAACTTTATTTTCCTCTTTATACTTTTTAGATAAAAAAAATTGCAATGATTATATTACCCTACATTGCAAGTAAAACGTATTTTAAAAAATCTACTTGAACTATCTTTTTGAGGCCAGGGAAGTTAGCAGCCCAGCCCAGTTCTAGGTGGGAGGGGCAGAGTGCAGCACCCACAAAGCCAGTGTCCCTCACATGTCCTCCCAGCATAGGGCAATGCTCTGTGGTGTTAGCTAGCTGCCCCTGCTTAGCTCCGTTTCACACACTCCCCTTTGCTGAACTAGAAAACTCAAATGTATTCCTCAAATATGGCTGCCATGTGTCCCTGCCCCTCCCCAGCTGCCCTGACCATCAGACTAACGATGCTTTTCCCTTAACTCCTGTTCCGCCTGCGACATTCACATGGTGCCACATATAGATTACTTTGTATTCTTAGTGATATTTTGACATGTTTCTTCTCACCAAAAAGGCGAGGGCTGGAACGTTTTTTTCCTACCTAAGTACCCAGCAAAGCAGGAGTTCAGTACTTACTGATGCACTGAATTTCATTCTCCTGCCTGAGAACATATCCCTGTTTAAAGAAGCCATAGCTCCCTCAATTCTGAAAGTCACATTTCTTTCTTATCAGAGGCCTTTTGAACTTTCCCTAGCAAGATTTGCTGTCTCCTTGCAGCACTGACCAAAGGCTAGGAGTCTCATGAAATAAGATCATTGCCCCCATCACCACCTGGCCAGTGCCCTAGTGCACACAACGCAGCCATCTGTGGGGGCCTACAGGGATTATGTATTAATCCCTTTACAAGCCAACCTGGAGACCCAGATCAGCATGGTTTAAGGGTAAATATTGTGTACAGGTCAGAAGACAGGTGCCAAGAACCCAAGATTTGTCTATGAAAGGTCAGGTCTGGGTGCAAAGCACTGCAGAGAGGTAATTTTATTTTAAAGGCCATGCCCTACTCTCATGAGCCTCATCACCTTGTTAGGAACTTAAAGGTAGAGGCTGTTATTTTTTCCTAACCGCTGTCCCTCTTGCCTTCTGCTTTGCGTGCATGTTAGTTCATCTAGCATTACTTCCTGTGTGTCAGAGACTGAGCCCAGAGCTCAGGCCACAGAGGTGAGAAGAAGCAGGCTGTGCTCTCATGGTGCAGGGTAGGGTAAGGGAGGTCCATGCAGAGGGGCAGTGTGAGGATGCCAAGGCCCAGGAAGGGGCTGGATGGTGGCGATGTGACACGTTGCTGCAGTTGGCCAGGATTAGACAGCAGGAGGCTGCTGAGGGACGGGAAGTAGAAGAGTCCACAGAAGGCTTCTCTGGTGCTCTGGCAGGGCTTCCTCCAGCGCAAGGGCCCTCAGCCTCGCCTCTGCCTTGTCTAGGAAGCAGGCGCGGCCTTCCCTGGCACGGCATGCAGTATAATGAACAGACCTTCCCCCGTTAGCAAGCGCGAACTCCGTCACAATACTCATAGCGCCTCGCTGCATTTACCTACGTATGGGAACGAAACTACTTAAAGGAAGCCCCCTGTAATATTTTTTTCCTGTCCACTCGATCTCCTGCAAAATGTAGCTTTTCCCACACAAGTCACCTGAAAGCAGAGTATTATTTGGCCCTGGTGTGTGTGTGTGCGTGCATGACCTTTAACCTTTCACCCTGAGCAGGGCAGTCTCCAGAGTCACATGAGCACGTTCTCAGCCTCTGAGCGCGGTACAGTGGATGAACCTCAGTTTAATCCTCTGGCAAGATACGTACTCTTGTAGTAAGAGTCTCTATTTTTTAAAATTCTAAAACAGGATCTAAAATCACTGACTTTCACAGTTATCCGGATTGAGAGAGAGAACATACAAACTAGGTTGGCACATCCTACTTGTAAAACAGCTAACGGCTGTAGGCTGGGTCCTGGTGCAGGAATGACACCAGAGTGAAGCCTGGCAGCAGAGCTCTGCCCCCACCAGTCTTACAAAGGACCACTCACCACCTTGAGCATGCTGAGAACAGGAATCACTGGTGAGCCAGTTCCTCCCCTGGTGGCTGGTGCCAAGACCACGACAGGCCTGCCCTCTCCAGCAATCTCTGAAATGCTAACCTGATGGCCATGCCTGAGTTTCTCAGGAGACCTAGTTCCCTCCTGTCTGGTGCTTCCTGGCCCTGCCCACGCCCCTGGCCAAGTCACTCTTAGGCTTCGCTGCAACCGAACCCCAGGAAGCCTCCTGTGCACACTTTAATCACTGCAGGTGAACAATATGCTGAAACTGTCTTTCCCATTAGACTAAAAGTTCCTTGAGGGTGAGATTTCATCTCAGCCATCTTTCTATCCCCATACATGGCACAATGTCCAGTATACACTAGGTGCTCAGTAAGTAACTGTTGAACTAATTTCCCCATTGTATACAGATGTTTAGAGCTCAAGACCGACAAAGCCACTGTGGGACATGCCGTGCTGACTTGCATTTCCGTTCTTCCTAAGGGGCTAGTGCAGAGATGAGGCACAAGGCAAGGCACCGACAAACGCCCAACCTAGGTTGTGGGAAAGTCAACTGTACAAGGCCCAGAGCGTCCTATTCTAGATGACATACTGGAAAGAGAGCACAGTAGTTCTATGGAAAGGAGACTTTAGCTCAGGTTTTTTTCCAGTAATCAGCTGTTGGAAGAGGGCTGGCATGTTTCTTAGAAGAACCCCATCAGGCAATGAATCACCTCAAATGAAGGGCTCTTCTTGCTCCTGAGCTCCCTGGGACCGCGCCAGGTGTGTGCGGGAAAGCTAGGCTCGTGCTGCACAGCTACGTGGCTGAGTTACACACAGCTAAGCGGGTGGCGAAAAGTGGAAGGGAAGACAGCCCTTCTTTTGTCTAACCTGGTCCAGCATTGGAACCATGCTCAGAAACCACAGGCTTTCTATAACAAGAAATCACTGGGTGCAAGTGTAACAACACACTGGAAAGAAAGCTGAGGGACTTCTATGACTTAGTTTTAAAACTTGGGGGAAAAAAGAAATGGATCAGAAAACACTGAATGACCTTGTAAGTATACCTAAGTTACCTATGAAGTTAGAAAACAGTAATGTACAGCAATTGATGTTTAAGATCCCATCGGGAGGTGGGAAGCAGCTCAGTGGGTGGAAAGAACATGAATTTTGGAGAGACTGGGATTCAAGTCAGCAGGGCCACTTTCCAGTCTCCACAGGAGCATGCTAAAAGCCTCCTGGCACA